CATATAGCAAATTCATCGCAAGCAGAGACTGGACGTTGTTGCGTCCAACTGAGAGAGTTCGGGTTTGAAGGAGGGGGCAGACGACAAGAGGGAAGAGAGACGCTTACAGGAAGCTGACAGCATACGCAATGGCATCCTGTCTCTGCGTGCGAAAAAATCGATATCTATTTTTTTATTGCATGTATTATTATAATACATGTATATATTCATTCCATGTATATATTATACATATTATATATATTATACATGCATTTATATTATATATATTATACATGTATTATTATATACATTATACTTCTTAGTACTGCTATTGGTATTCTATTTCATGTATTTATCATAGAATGCTGATTTCTGGACTCAACCTACCGTAGCAAACTGGTATTGCTGGTTCCCATATCCCTTTCGTACCACACGTTACGAAAGCGTGCCCAATTAATCGGTATCCTTCCTGACACGAATAGTTAGCTAGAGATCCGAATGTGGTTTTGGTAGCTGCGACAATACCGTTAGGGATAACGGGTGGATCCTCACAGTCAACCACTAAGAAAAATTTTTAACGCGACTTCTGTGAGGGACAATTCTTACCTTTGCATGTGGGAGCAGTCCCGCTCCAAGTTCCATCTTGCTGGCATCGCCTACGACCATCCCCAACAAGCTTCCATCCGGTAAGGCATTCGTATTCAATCTGAAGCATCGATTTTGGAGTTTTTGTAAATATCATAACTTTGAAAATCAAGAATAAAAGGATTGAACAAGATCAGATTAGAAAAATTCTGAATCTTTCGCTATAATTTTGAGGCTTCCCTGGGAACTACTGACGAGGGGCACGTACAAAACACAAAACTAATCTTTTAAGACTCTTAAGCATGTGTCTAGTATTTTATCTATCAAATGCTCAAAATGATTTTCCATCAATTGCGTGAATTAGTGGGTGCTTTGTAAATGATTAGAAATGGACTCTTACATTCACACCGATTTCTTTTTGAAAGATGTAATCAACCCAAGTAACTGAGAGCTCAGAAGTAAATGTTTGGGCTTCGTAAGATACGATTAGCTCTTTTCTTTCTTTTCTCTTTTTACCTTTGGCTAAGGAAATATTGTTCATCGTAGGAAAAATTGTTCCTTTCCAGTTCTTCTTGCCTTTGATGCAAGGTACAAGTCTAGAATCTCACGTTTGTCCTGCCATCTATTCAGCTTGAATCAATTAGAAGAATATACTGTGTGTGAAAAGAGAAGAAGATTCGATAATGACGTAGATAGGCCGAATATGCAGTTGATGCAACCAAACTGAGAATGATAAAGATTGTTTGCTTTTTGTATTTGGGGAAAATTAAAAATGCATTCAACGGTAGGGGGAAGAACATATTAGGATGTATACTATTTTTTTTCTCTGTAAACAAAAATCAAAACTATTTTTACTACTCGCTAATTGATAACTCATGGTCAAATTTCGTAAGTACTTTGTTTTTACTCAATAATGTTTTTCTTGTATTAGAAATTCAAATTAAATTTTCAAATTTTCGGCGGCATGGCTCTCGTAGAAGCCCGCAAAAAATTGGCAAGGCCTCTCAGAAAACATTTTTCGAAGCCGTAGTTCCCTTTAA